CTAAAATAAGTTTGGTCATATAGTTCAAGATATGACTAAAATGCTCTGTCTTATACAAGAACTCAAATCTGCAGGAACATTTCAACAGTTAATTACAAACTTCAGTAGGATAAAAATACTAGGGGAAAAAAAAAAAGCCCAAACTATTGGCTTGTTTGGTTGTTTGTCCCACGGATATCTGACAGCACAGTCTGCAGGTAAAGTCTAGCTGATTCTGAGGCTTGAGAAAGGATATATAAAATTCAGAGATTCACTCACAACCACTTCCCCACGCACACATCTCGAAGCTGCACATGCCTTCATCTATTTCAGTTCCTAATGACTGCAAGGAAGAGGTTAAGAGTCAACCTAAATTGGTTCAGCATTTTCCCATAAGCTTTAATTTCAACTACTCTTTGCATAACTTAAATAAAAAACACGGTGCTGTCTTTATTTGATTCTTAAACCACCCGTATCTGAAGCACAATGGGACATGTCACAGACACTTGCTTCACTGCCCTCATAATATGGTTTAATTATGATGACCGAACTAACAGGCTCACATCATAGACTTTTACAGGTTGACCCTGTGTCATCCTGATGTATCATTTTGCACCAGTTCAGTGCTGTAAATCAATTTAAGATCTCCAGCAGGTTGAAAAGGCTGGTAATGATGCTTTCTCTGCAATCTCTGGGGACTCCACATTATACACAACTTACATTATTTATAAAGCTGAGATGATGCCTCCATTAGGCCTGTAAGACTACTCAAATGAGCTTTTATTTTACACACACAACTTGTGCTTCATAGAACACTGGCTATATGTAATATTCAGTGCATTCATGCTTCAATTTAAAAAAAAAAAGTCATAACCTCTTCATTTTTTAAAATCTTTATACCAAGCAAAGAAACTCATAGTTTCAATCTGATTAATTTCCCAGTACTCAGAAACACAAGTAACACTTTAATTAACCTTTGTATTGCTTTTCTTCACATCCAGCTCTTTACTCTGTGTTCAAACTACAGAGGAAAAACAAACACTAAACTCATCAGCTTTCAAATATTTGATTGATAGTTAATATTTATACCAAAACAGAAAGATCTCCATCTGTTTATTCAGTCACTTTTCTCAAATGTATTGGATCATCACATCTTCAAGGGTACACAAAAAAGCAAGCTGAACAGGACAGAGTAGGAAAAAATGTATTTGATTACATATCCAATGGTAATGGGGTCAAAACAGACGCAAGGACAAATCCCTACCCTTAGGGTAACCTGATCATGCCTTGAACTGATCCTTTCTGGTAGCTGTGGAAGGCCTCTGGATCACCCAAATCAAGGGAAATTTCTCTCTACCACCTACTTACAGTCTGAAGTAAATTGCAAGATTTCATCCCTAAGACCACAGCAAGTATTTCAAAAAGGGCCAGATATCCTTCATTTTCACACTGATGCTTTTCTAGTCACAGTAATGAAACAAGCATTCAAAACTTGCAGTAAAATCCAATGAGAACCTCTAAAAAGCTTCATAGCACTGCTCTCTGGTTCAATGGGAAAATTAAATGAGTATTAATCAGCTGCAACTAACAAACTCATGTCCCATAATTCAGCAGAGTAATTACTGACAAGTAAAAGAAAAAATTAAGTCAATCTTAGGTTCTCTCACATGATTTGCTCCTATTGTTTGACAGGACAAGGTGCACACCGTCAGCCACATGAAGACTGACAGAATTACAGACACACGCCTGCAAAGAAAAGTGTTCTCTGTGGGCTGGGTTAGCTTCAGTTTTTAGTCTTATTCTTGAGTGCTGCTTAAAAACACATGTAACTATTAGAGGTGAAAAAATTAAACAAGTTTTCTTTGACTTCTCCTCTGCGTGCAAAAGAGATTCAAACTATCTCTATCAGCTATGACAGCTCTTTCCTAAGCATATTAGTTTCAAGACACTGTATCTTTAACCACTGACATCCATTAAACACTGACATATTTCAGTCAATGATCTTTTCCATTTGCTTGTATCTGAAATACACATCTACTTTTAGTCCTCTCCATCTGGATCCAACAATACTGCTTTTATTAACCTCTGTTTATAATACTTCCCCAAATAAAACTGTTACCCTTTTCGACATGCAGTGAGCATCATTTTATCCTAAAATACACCAAAATAATAACTGATTTTCAGAATAAGCTCGAATTATTCAGATACTGTAAAATCAAACCGTAAGGTCCTACCTCATATCTTCTTCAGATTATTCTACTAACAAAAGAGCAATCACAGCAACCCTGCTTCGGGCAGAACTCCCTCTGACTTCGGCTTGTATAAAAAAAAAATAGTCAGTATCTGGCCCAGATCCTTTCGAACGCATGACTAAATATTTCCACGCCAGTAAATCTTAATAAGCTCTAAAGATCCATATTCAGGATAAGATTATTTGGCTGTACAAGTATATGAAGAAACTATACTGAGGAGGGGGAAAATCTCAAGCATCCAAACCCTTTAACAGTGAGAAGAAAAAAAAATTAAGTGAACTTTCCTTGACCTCTAAGCACAGATTTGTCATTAAAGAAGAAAGAAGGGAAGGGGGGGGGAGGGAAAGGAGGGGAAGGGGCTGCGGAAAGAAAGGACGGGAGGGGGAGAAGAGAGGAAAAAAAAAAAAAAAAGATAAATTAAAGGGAGAGGGACGCGGCTGGGCCGAGGCGGGAGGCGAAGGGCTGTTCCCGCACACACAAAGGCGGCCCCTGCCCCGGCCGGCCGGAGCTCCGCCGCGTCCCCGGGGGCGCACAATGGGGCCGGGAACGGGAACGGGGAGGAGAAGGAGAAGGAGAAGGAGGAGAACGGCGGCTTCCCGGCGGGGAAAGGCTGTGCCTCCCGGCGGGCCCGGCGCGGCACCTACCGCCCAAGTTGGAGCCGGGAGCGGTGCCCCCCGGGCCGCCGCAGGGACGCCATCATGCCGGGCAGGGAGGAGAGCGGAGGGCAGCGCTGCCGAGGAGCCGCTCCCGCGCCGCGGTCCTGCCCCCGGGCCAGGGACCACCCGGGGGAGGGAGGGAACAGCAGGAGGAGAAGGAGGAGGAGGAGGAGGATGCGCGGGCACGGCGGGCAGCGAGCGGGGAGAGGGGCGGGGGGGACGCGAAGTTGTTACCGGCTGGCGGGCGGTGACGGGCGGCTCCGCGCCGGGAGCGGGAGCGGGAGCGGGATGGATGTGGTCCGGCTGGCGTCAGGCGGCCTGAGCCGCCCCGCGCCGCTCACCGGCACACGCACGCACACACACATACAGACACAGACACACACCACACACACACACACGCACCGGCCCGGCCAGGGATCCTCCCCAAATTCCCGCCCCCGCCGCCGCGCCGCCGGGTCCCGCTGGGAGCGCTGCGCCCGCCGCCGCCGAGCGGCCCCGGCCGGGAGCTCGGGCTGCTCGGTTCCGCTGATCCCCAGACCGTCCCGATGTCCGAGCGCCCTCGGGCACCTCCTCAGGGGTTTAAAAGGCGCTGCGGTACGGCTGGAGCGCGGCTGGGGAGCTCCGGCAGCGGCAAATGTTGTCAGACTCTCAGTTAAAGTCAATTCCTGATCGAACTGGGTTATGTCCTGCCTCTTGCCACAGGTGATTCAGTCCTCACTCGGTCTATTCTTAATACTGAAGTAATTCCTGTAATACCTCCCCCAGTGACAGAGCAGTCTCTATCCCCATGTATTTTACATATGGACATCCTCCTGCCCGTAGGTACTAATGCACCACTTACGCCTCATTCATGCGAGTAAACCTGTTGCAGTGCGTGAGACTTCTTGTGCAACCAGATCCACGATAATGAAGCCTCACGCCGCTGTCCCTCTGAAATAAACTTGAACTCTTGTTTGAATCTGTGAGTGTCTGCTCCCGAGTGGACCTGGCTGAAAGTTTGCAGCGCACATGAGAATCGGCGAGTCTCTCCTGCCTGCTGTGTTTATAGGAATCCGTACACTACTCAGATAAGTGTTGCACAAGTAAGATTGAACTGAAACTCATTCTTTAACAAATACTTTGGCTTTTACCCAGTCATCATTCCTGGAAGGAGGTATGAAGCAACAAGTGCAAGATGTTTCTCTACGTGGCAAAATATTATGATACGCCTATACTGGCATAGTTACATTTCTATACTTAAGCCAGTAAATTTTCACATGTATATGCAGTTCTAGGTATGGTTTTAACATCATTTTAAAAACCAGCAGCACTGAGGCCCAGAGGACTTAAGGCCCTGAGAGTTTTACCAGATGAACAGTGGTCCTGGACTTGCCCACCCAGGTGCATTGTGAGTCTGAAGACACAGAACTGGAATGACTTGCATAAGGTCACAGAAGGAGCATAACAGCAGTAGTAAAAAATACCAAGTTTTATGCCTGTGGGGGTATCAGTGTTTCTTTCTAACTTCGTCATCTGAAATTCATCCATTTCTTTGTCACATACATACTACAAAAATTGCAAGCGAATTGTACTATGTTCTTAGGTATTATGGTACAATACAAGGGTAGTGAGGAACTCCCATACAGAATGATGCTATAGTATTGATGGGAAAGCCTGGAATAAAATTAATACTTTACTGTTTAAGTTTTGAATCTTAAATGATTCAAGATGGGTGAACTTTGGTAATGAGATTTAACTTGTGTTTTGTGCTTGCACTGTATGCAATCACAGTTAGCAAGTAAATTTTTCTTTTTATGTGCAGTCATACACAGATCCAGTGCAGCACTGGGCTGCAGACGTAACTGGTAAAATTCATCTCAAGACAAACTAAAAGGTCTTCAAATTTTGGCAGTGTAATGAAGATATTTGCAAGCAAGGTACAGAAGAAACATGAGACTGCTACTGGTTTTTGAACTGTGGCAGTGCTTAATCCAGGGCTGAGTGTCCTGGATGAAGAGTGGTGGAGGCAGCAGTAGTGTTTGTCCCAAGAGCTTTTGTCCCAAGAGCTTGGAAGTCTCGGTGATCCAGTCTCACATAGAGAAATACATGGAAAAGGCCTTAGGTGTGCCTGAGGTCTGCTCTGCTCTGCTCTGCTTTGACTTGGTGGGCACAAGCTCCATCCACTGGATCCTGGTTTTTCGAGTATCCACTCAATTCATGATTCACACTAAGCAGATATGACAAGAAGATAATTAGGGAAGCACTGCAGTTTGTCAGGTGTCTTGTTAGAACCACGTTTTTACTGCTTTTGTTGTTGTTAGGGTTGACTGGTTGGTTCGCTTTGGCATGAGAGAATTAAATTATTTTCTAGTTATGCTGAGGCTTGGGGAGGATCACATTAATATGCTCCTTTACCTAAAAAGGGCTATAAAACAGCCTAGTATAGCCTTTCACTGATGTTTAATAACCAGAGTGGTTGTTCTGGAGAGAGCTGGTTAGAACTGGCTTCGGACAGATCAGTGGTGTGAGAAGACCAGAGGACAAGCAGAAACAGTGTGCCATGGTCAGATCTGCCTCGGGGCTTCCCCAGCTGGGCTGGTTTGCTACACAGCTGAGTCAAAACTTCTAGTCTGCCACCCGCTTTAGGATGTCCAACTCACAGCTAACTGTCCAAACTCATCACTCTGTGGGTGAGTAGTATCAGTGGCTTGTACATTCACCACTTCTAACTCCATTGGCTACTTTTAATGTACACTGTATCATTAGCACCTTCCTAGCTTTTCTGAGTAATATGAGAAAACTGAAAAAAAAGGAGAGTGGAGAGGCATGTGCACCTGGGTATTGACCTTGATGCTACTAATACAACAGTGTTCCTCCTCTGCCTTGGGCTGAATAACTGTGATATCTCAAGAGGCAACAGAGAAATTGGGGTTTTTTTCTACTTTTACTCTTCAACTACGTTCAGACTGGTGCAAGGAAAACAGGCCGTGAGGCTGGGGCAATGAAGAAAGAGAAGAACCATTTCGTCTATAAACAGCCTGACTTTTCATCAGATTACATGTACAGTCTGATGATACCATCAGTCATAAGGCCTGTGAACCTGAATTTTAATGGAGTTGGGGCACTTACGCAGATAAATGTCTAATAAGATTCTCAAAGGAAACTTTAATCTCATAGACGCTAACATCTCACCAAGCACCTGCCCAATCACCTTTAAAATCCGTGTCTCAGATTATCAGAAGGCACAGTGCTAAAAGACACTCATTACTCTGTGTATTTTATACTATTGTATTATGTAACAAGTATTTTAGAAATTCTGAGACCCCTGGTGGCCTAGTGGTTAGCGTGCAGGACTTTCACTGCTGCGACCACGGGTTCGATTTCCCGGTCTCCTGGCCTGATGGAGGTCGTTAGCCCTGTGAGGCCATCCATCTATGAGAAGGACACTCTAAACAAACCTACGTCCTGAGGACCTCACTGTCATTGTCCAAGCTTGCTTGGCCCCGGCAGATGAACCTTAGGATTAAAGGGTGGGCTCAGTTCAGCGCAGGCTGTGTCTCACCTAAAAAAAAATCCATTGCGCAGGCTGGAAAGGTAAAAGACCTTTCCCCAAATCTTCGTTCGCGAAGATGGGCCATTATTTTAGAAATTCTAATACTGCTAATACTACTATTAACTTTCAATCTTCCTCTAAAATCCAAGTTTGTATGTAGATTATGATTTGGTGTTTCTTGTTAACCTCAGCCAGTTTTCATCTGGATTATTCAGGAGGTTCCAGGGATGGAAAGTGCCTTCTGGAGACAGTTTAGCTCCAAAGTCAGTAACTTTGCTTCACCTTTATGTACACCAGGTTTCTGCCAGGAATTAGAGCTTCATGGATAATTAAATTGTATTACACACACAACTTATTATTTACATTAAAATCACTGGACTAATTTTCTTTTTAGCTGTTACAGTGTTGCCCTAGTGTGAGAAAATACCAACAATATTTTCAGACAAAAGAGGCAGTCCTGTCAAGAAGAGCTTTCTAAGGATACTGGATTTCATTATTTACTTCTTTCCTGGGCTGGCTGGTAAAATTTATCAACCTCTATCCTTCATGGCTTGTCTGCTTCATCTTTGAATAGGTGAGGTACTAAACAAGCCTCCCACCTCAGAATTATTAAAATAGGATATGCAGACTGTTTAGCAAGTACACAAATCTGTTGGGAAAGATGCCTCAGGCAGAAGACAGCACGTGGGAGAAGGTAAGGAGCATTTTTAGGAGGTCATCATAACTGTGCAGCACTGCATATGGTTTCCCAAACCGATGTGGATACAAGGACCTGTCTAGCCACAGTAACAGAGTTCACAGCTGACTTCCACTGTCAAGAAAGGCACTTGGGTTTGAGCTGGTTTAAATACCTCAGTCCTGCACCACAGCTGAAGTGATACAGTGGCATGAGCTGACTGAATTGTGGCCTCCAGAGGCAGATGGAGTGGGGCAGCAAAATGACAGCAGCAACAGAGCTAGTCAGCAAAATGCTGACCCCACTAAAGAGGGGCAGGTGGCCCTCCTGTCCCTTCCCACTCCCTGCTCCCCAGCAGCAGAAGTGCAGCAGCCTCAGCAGCCCCAAGCCCCTGCCCAGGGCTGCCTGAGTGGGGCTGAGCACAGAGGCCCATCACCAGCACTTTAGTGGGGATGCAGAACCATCAGGGCAATGGGGCCTTGAGCTGTGTAAGGAGGCTGGTGCTTGGGGGAACTGTTCTGGTGTCGTCCTCGCAAAAGTGACTCCTGCATCCCTCAGCAGAAACCAAAGCAAGATGTTTTATGGGAGAAATTGATCTGTCTGTGTCCTTGAGTGCCAAGATTCATTTTTCCCTCATGGAAAGAAGAGAAGCTTTGAGCTGGCGCTGTGTAGGTTACACAAAAAAAAAAAAAGGAACTAAGTTGTGAAAGGCCTTGATGACAGAAATTGTGACATGAGGGCTCTCTGTACTCCTGCTGTGGTGTGTTTGGCCATTTTCTAGTGAACCCTTCATGAGTTTGTCTCTGTAGGGTCAAATATCTACTTGGGACCTGCCTTAGTTTTCTGACTCACTGTCATATGCAAAAGAACAAGGAACCCATTTCACTCTTAGAAGTTCTTCCTAAACTGGCCCACCATGATTAAGTGGGATTCATATAGAATAAATGTGGAACAGATAATTTTACAAGGTTATTATGTGTATTTCCCTCTGCTATGTTAAATAAGGCTTCTGCTGTAAATCTATCTGCAGATACTAGAATGGTCTTTGATCAGACTGAGTGGTCGTTCATCTTTTCCACCCTTGAGATGATGAGAATCACACCAAAATTCATTACTTTCTTAAGATTAATGTACCCAGCCAAAGCTGCCAACAACCTTATTAAAAGCTATGAATTCAAAAGGTTTGGGCTGAAATAAAGTATTAAGCAGGGCACTCCCTTATCTCTTTTATTGGTTGTTTTCTTAGTAGGCTCTGCTGTAAGGACTTTGCTCCAGCAACATTACATTTCTGGTAAAGAAGGGAGGTTGCACTCTCTTCTGACAGCTAATTATGTGCTGCCATGAAGCACAGTATTCCAGCCCACTGTACTGCACCAGTACTGTACTTTCTAGAAATTCTCCCTTTGGATCTTGCCTGCATCCATGTAGAAGCTTTGAAAGGTAGTTTCACTTTCTCCTGCCTATCGCCTCAGCAAGAGATAATGGACTCTGTGTAATCAAACATTATTGGTTCTTTTAAAATTAAATTTCTCTTCAGTCATTCAGCTTAAAAATATTTACATAACTGGAATAACCTAGCTCTGCTACTGGTTTCTTGGAAGACACCGCTAAGATTAATCTTATCTCCCATTTTAATTACTGTTTTCAAGTTCTTACAGTCCTTGTCCCAGTTACATCTTGTTGCGAAAACCACCAGAGAATGATATATTAAAATTTATTCAGACAGGTGGCAGAGACAAAATTAAAGCTAATAACTCTATGAGAAAAGAAATCAAAGGTGGTTTGGCAATCCTGAGGTGTTATTGGTCACTTGGTTGCACTGGCTGTACAGGCAGTGCACTAATGCCTGGGCTGTGTGAGTGGCTGTGTGCCACAGCTTGCTGTGTGGCACTTGGGACTGCCATGGCCACACAGCTGCACTCCCATCCATGAGCCTTGGAGCAGGACTGGATTGCTCGGTGACAGCTGGGCAAACCATGGTAATTATCTGGATACAGGGTTCTATCTCCCTTTTTATACCCAAAGAGAAGACAACTGTATTACATCTCTGGAAGACTAACAAAATGACACAGAATACAGCTAAATGCAGTCCTTTACTTCCTAGTTTTGGTGCTATTTTGTGACAAAATACTCAGCCCACTTTATATAACAAATAAAAACATTAAAAAAAGGCTCTGTGTCTTATTTTTATTCCCCATAAAAATGGTGCTTATCCTGAGTAAATTAGAAACCCCTTTTGAATTTTTCAAAACTGGTGCAAGTCCAAGTCGCATTGCCTGAGTTCAGTATCATTCTTGGCTGGATAAGTCAGTAGTAAAACAGTCCCACCCTACCTCCTCCACGACGGCTGCTCATCCCTAACCCCATGTCACCCACCCCCTTTGTGCTGGCACAGTTGTTGGTGCAGCTGCGAGCTGAACAGACCTAGGGAACTCAGATGGCCAGGGAAAGCAAATGTTGCAGGGGCCAAGCTCATTTTTAATTTGGATTGGTTTCCTGATCTGGCTCATTGTGTGGCTGTCCAAATCCTTGTGCTGATCTTGTGCAGGGGCAGGACTGAGGTAGGAGAAAGGGCGAAACTTATCTTTTTGATTGTGTTGTTGGCTTCAGCCAGTTTAAGGTGGTTATGAAACTGTGATAGACTAAGCAAGCTTCTTTTTAACCAAGGAAAAATGCTTTCATTTTGAGCATAACTGCAAACATGGTTTTAGGAGAACTGCACTAACCCCAGGAACAGGGCTCACTGGTTAATAACAGGAGACAAGGAGAACCTGTGACAGGACTGAGAAATTCAGGGAGCTGATGTCTTCACTGCACATTAGAAAAGGCAGCTGTGGGACACTGCATTATGTAGTAAAAAGAAAAAAAAACCATTGCCCTTCTGCTGTTCATGAACCAACAGAGGCCAAAGAATTGCAAGGATCCCACCAAAAATTATTAATCGACTCTTCAAAAAGCAGAATTATGCTCAGCTGGCTTAAAAGAAGCCTATACCTGG